ACTGGGAACACATAACCTTTTAGTCGAATGAATTTGCGAGAAGGCAACTGTAGACCCGATTAAACTCTTGGTCGCCAGCGACCATCATTAGCATTGGAAGGCAAGTTGGAGGGCTTTTTTTTTCTCATTTTCAAAGTCGACCCCGGCCACATTCTATGACCATCGCACCATTCCACTTTTCCTTTCATCAATAAGTGTTTGAAACCACTACCTAGGGCGAGTACTGTTGGAATATGTGGGAAGAGACGAAACCCTCTCCTAGGATTATGACAGCGTTGTGAGACTGAGGATTGCAAAGTGAAAGGTTTTCCAGGATAATGAGAATGCTATGTATAGTGTGTGCCTCCATGGTCATGAAAAGCGATGGAAAAGGTGGTTCCCAACGTTCGACTTTCTCCTTAAAACTCTGAGAAACGTGGCCCCGTAATCATGGAAAGTGGGTGGTTATTTTCTGCATTTTCTCTCTCTAATAAGCCTCCTTATTTTAGTGATAAGCATTAAATTATTCTCACAAATTATAAAAATATAAAAAAAATAAGAAATACATATTTAAAAGTAAGATTTAGCAAAATACATCAAAATAAAGTTGAAAAAGTAGTTAAAAAATAGATTTAAACAAATCAACTTAGGGCTATATTTGAAATAATCCAAAAAAAGATGGAAATATGCAAAAATAAGTATTTATGGCCAAAGAACTCTCCAATCTTTATGAAAAGGTGAAGTTGGCATACAGATGCATCCGTAGCTGTAGAAATAAGGTGCACCTTCAAATTTTATCATGGTATATAATTTTGATGTAAAATGTTTTGAGGATTATCTCAAAATATATTTTTATATCTAATTATAAAATTTTAAATTTTAAAAATGGTTAAAATCAAGTAGATCTATAAACATATGAAAATCTTGAAAATAGACGGTATAGATAATAGTTGTAAAATGCACTATTTTTTAGACTTAAAATCTTTTTATTTTTCATGGCCATACATGTCGAGATGATCAATCAAAGGGTTTTTAAACATTAAAACTACTTTTCCCGATGGATTTTTGAGGTGCATCCGTAGTTCTACATATTAAGGTTACAACCTTATATAAACTTTTTTCTTATCAAAATGATAGAAAATATAAAAAAAAACATATGACAAATAAATCCCTTATTTTATGGGATTTTTTACGGCTTGTTTTGAATTTGTTTTCAAATATCCCCAAGTCGGAACCCAACTTTGGGGAAACTCGAGTTCACCAGGTGGCGAGCCCAAGTACTTTGGTCTCGGACCGAGTAGTCAAACGCTGTCACCAATATATAAGTCTTAACTACTTTCTTGACTCTGCTTATCGGTCTGAATTTGTGACCCTTCACCAATTTTACCCTAGCTGCAATATTTCTAAGAATTTTCATAATCTTATTAACATGATATTTGGAATATTATCTAGACTTTCTAGGACTATGGATAATTGAGTTGGCAATATTTTTCATATACTGCATGTTCACTAATATTTTATTTATATAAATAAGTTCCAAAATAATATTGTCATAAAACTCTGCATAGGATTAAGCAGGCATGTTCAAGGAAGAGCAAAAGTGCATATGAACATCAATCTCCCCATAATGGAGGAGATTGACAATGAAGATGCGCCCCCAATATAATCCTCCAAAGGAATTTTCGTCGATGTGAAATGCCCAAACCTATAAAATCACCCTATTTCACAATCAAATGCAAATGCGTACCAGGGCAGTGCTGGGCATTGTTGTGAAGCATTAGTCTTGTTTGTTGTTACCATTGCTTAGATTCCAACGGAGTGGAATTTTCAGTTCTCAGACGAGTAAAAGACAACTATAGAATCTCTAAGGGAAAAAAAAGGGTGCGGATTGTATAGAGCCTAGGCTCTAAACAATTCAATTAGAGCCTATCTTCAAATAGTGTCGAAGAATATGGTTTTAATGTGAAAACCTTTTTGATAGCCTTCAAATATATTTTTATATTTTTTTATAAAGTTTAAATCTTCAAAAATAGTGTATATCGAGAGATCTATGAAAACTTAAAAATCTTTAAATTTGACGGTCTAAATATGCGTTACAAAATACACTATTTCTAAAACTTGAAATCCATTTTTTTTATTGTCCATGTATCTTGATGTCGAGATGATCAATTAGAAGATATTTGAGCATCAACACAACCTCTTCTAATGAAAGTTTTGAGGTAGGTTCGAATTTGATTGTTTAGAGCCTCGGCTCTTCATAAACTTTTTCTATAAAAAAAAAAAGGATTTTATACAATGAGACTATTTACCTTAGGTCGCAATTATTAACAACCACCCGATGTGAAATCTGATAGCTTGGGTGTGTCACAAAGTTCTAGATAATTTCTTTTAAAGTTTGAGCTTGGTCAATAAAATAAATGCAACCACCTAATTTCACATCCAATCTAATGGTCAAGATTAATTGTGACCACCTTGTACCAAAGATATTTGGTCTGTTGTAAAAGTTGTGACTGTTTGAGAGATATGGTAGGAAAGAAATAGAAGGCGATATTTGGTCGGTTGTAAAAGTTGTGACTGTTTGGGAGATATGGAAGGAAAGAAATAGAAGGCGTTTCAAAAATCAAAGTAAATCAGTTAATGATATACAAAAAAGTATTAGAGTTACTGCTGCAAAACGGTTATCTGTTGTAAAAGAGTGGTGGGGAGTTCCTCAAGTGGATCTAATCTATAGTCTGAATAATTTGGTTAAAGAAAGAAGTATTAGAGAAGTTGGAATTGGGATTTGGAAAAAACCAGAATCAGGATGGATAAAAGTAAATTTTGATGGAAGCTCAATGGGAAACCTGGGTCCTGCAGGGATCGGAGGTATTGTTCGTGATTGTGGAGGAAATGTTACGTTGAAATATTCAGGACCTATTGGGTTAATCACTGCGAATGAAGCAGAAATGATATCGTGTTTACAAGGTATTAAATTGGCTAAGCAATTTAACAAACCCATGGTGATGGAAGGTGACTCACTAAATGTGATAAAGTGGATAAAAAAAGAAGCTGAATTTCCTTGGATGTTACATGGTTTGTTGAGAGAAGTAAGTTTGGAATGTAGGGGTTTGATAGTTAATTTTGTTCATGAGAGAAGTAAAGAAGCTGAATTTCCTTGGATGTTACATGGTTTGGTGAGAGAAGTGAGTTTGGAATGTATGGGTTTGATAGTTAATTTTGTTCATGAGAGAAGTAAGTTTGGAATGTAGGGGTTTGATAGTTAATTTTGTTCATGTATTCAGAGAAGTAAGTTTGGAATGTAGGGGTTTGATAGTTAATTTTGTTCATGTATTCAGAGACGCTAACATGGAGGCTGATCTACTGGCTAAAGATGATGTATCTTTAGCAAATTTAAGTGTGATTCTGTTAGTATATTTTTCTGGCAGTATTTTTGTTGATTGTTATCTTTTTTGTTTTTTCTGTTTTGGTTGTAATCTTTTTGGGCCTTTATGGTTTTGTTTCGGGGCTTGTGTGCTTTTGTAAAACCGTTTAGCCTGTGTGGCTTCGTTATGATTGAATAAATGGTGAATAATTCTCAAAAAACAAAAAAAAATTACACAATGGGGTATGTCATCATTTCATAATGGTTCGTCGTCTCATGATCCAATGCACAATGGAGCATGTATTTAAACAGTGAGCACGGATACTATGCTCCTTTGAGAACATGGTTTATTTTTACTTCCTTGGTCAAAAAGACTTACTTTAGAGGATTTTTTCAATCTCACTTAAGAATTGGTAGATGATTATTCCAAAAAAAAAAATATTTGAAATTTCTGACACTCACCGTCTTGGAATGTCTCTATTCTATCTCAAAACATTCATTTTTTATGTTATATAGAGGGGTATAGTTAGGAAATCTTTATTAATTTCAGCTGCTATAACTAATTCTAGGTGGTATTTTACCCAAGTGAGTTGTTGGTAATTCTACTCCAGTGGGAGTAGGACACCTTTTGGCTTAAACAGTTATTACCCTTGAACTATATTGTCCCAATATATTCGTTGATATCTCACTAACCATGATATCCTTCACTTTCATGTTGTTCACAATTTATGTAGTACTTTGGTGCTTTCTTGATTAAAGCTCCGAGGCTTGATTCATATGCTTAGAGTTTAATTATGAGGGAAACATATTTTTATTTAGGCAAAGCTCAGGCTTAATTGATTAGTGCTTGACGATTTGTTACACTACATCCTAGGCTCAATTACGCACTGCTAACCACCCATGGCTGCTGTGGTTGCGGTGATTGTGATATTTTTGTACCAAATACTCTTCTAATACAAATCTCTTAATGCCATATTTCTCAAAAAGCCAGAGAGCATCTTCCACTCATTGAGATTGCCTTGTCGAAGTCCAAAATTAAATACACGATCCGCATGCTAAGCTATCGTAACAGTGGCAACATGACAGGCACGGCCAAACCAGCCTTGGCATTGGCCTGCCTCCATCGGGCTGGGATAAAAACAAATTAACGAAAAATTTTCAAAAAAAAAACCAAAAACAAAAAAAGAGGCAAGGAGAAAAAGAAGAGCGCTGCACCGGGTCAGCACTAGCCCTAACCCCAACCCGAGCCCGGCCCTCATGCCACAATTTGTGGCACAAGCCATTTTAGGGCTGAGCTGGCCGTAAGCTACGGGTGCCACTAGCTCCCCTTGTTATGGCTATTTACACCCAAAATATCTTACCCCACCAAGAACTCCAGCCGACATTGTTTGTGTCACTTGTAAATTATTGTATAACCAAGCTTGCATTCCTAAGCTCAGGGTTAGTTGCCACATTCATCTAATTCAGACATGGAATGCATTTTATTTGGAGCCTCAAAAGGACAATAATTTAGACTTTCAATCAGACTACCAGAAATCTTCCTGATAGTCATTTTACTCCATTTTGGCAATCAAAGCATATACCAGAACTACATATGGCAAGGTAACAATGGAAGCCTATGGCCACTGGAAAATGGGAATTGTACGTCTTATGTGGTTCATTATCTCTTAACCTCTATGGTTTCCCATTCCATTAGGACATATAAATCCAGAGCACACGGTCAATCAGGTAAGAATTCAACTGCCAAGAAAAATGATGGCCTCTGTGCAATGGACAAGCGCCATGCTACAGGCCTGTTCAACAATTACACAATAGTTCATAGGTGCAAAGAGAATTCCACTTTTTTTCATGGCGGAAAAGCCCACATTTCTCTATAGTATTACAACAACAAAAGGAAATTAAAAAAAGAAACGAAGAATTATTGCACGCCACTCCATCGAGCCCAGTCCACGAACTGCATACCCCCATATGTGTTATTCGCAAAGCGTATGCCAACAGTGAAGGCCAAAGCAACTGGTGGAACCTGTTTAGCCAAAGGCGATGTTTCAACTAAACGTTCCAAGCCATTGATGATTTGGTACCGAGTGTTGGAGGAGACAGCAAGAAAGACCCCTGTAGTGCATCACAAATAGATAAGCTCGTATTATATGTGGCCATATGGCCCAGCCAGGGCTCCATCAAAGAAAACAAATTATAGCTACTGGTCATCACATCTCTCTCTCTCTAAAACAAAATATAGCTACTGGTCATCACATCTCTCTCTCTCTCTGTTGTGTTTGGAAATGTATGTAATATGCATCTACATGATATGTACGTATATATAGAAAATTCAAGAGAGGACCATCAATGAGGAATTTTTGGGCATCTAATTCTGCCCGCAGGGGGATGATGTAGCATCATAGGACAAGAATGTGGCATTACCTTCTGTAGTTCGCATGTAAAACCAGTAAATGAAACATGAGTTACAATAAAACGGTGAGCCAGAAGAGCCATACAAAAATCCCCATCAAGGAGATGTTAAGGAAACTTCTCAATCACATGAGACAAATCCCTCCTATACATGAAGGCACACATCATCGACACCACCTCTGCCAGGGTATCAGCTAGCCAGACATGGCTGCAAGCACATATGCATTGTGACCTCTTTGAAAATCTTCACCACTTGGTAGAACTCGTGTTTCAAACTGTAAACCATTTGGTCAAGTTCGATGAATTCACATCCATTATGATAATTGGGGCAGCTAGGTTAAGTGGGCAGTACTGAGGTCCATAAGAAGCACCCTACCTACCTCGCTGAGGATACCTATCATCCCTGTTGGTCCCAACTTACCTTGTGAGCTACAGTCAAAGTTGAGCCTCAAATATGTTTGCACCAAAAACCACCTAGCCAAGAGAATGAAGCAGTATTGGACAACACCCAGCCAATGCCAAACATATCAAGCACATACATATAGCTACTCCATGGTGGATAAGAAGATCTGCTGTTTCCACATCTTCCAGGACATGACACACATACTAGGGATCTGAAGTCCCGATCACTGAGGTGATCTACTATCAAGGTCTCATCCAAGATGACTAACCACAAGGATGATGCCACTGTTAATGCCCAATTGCTTTCCAAAGTCCAATTCTATTGCTCCTTCATAGTAAAATAAACCTCCTCCAAAAATCTCATCAAGTAAACCCAACATCTGAGTCCTAGAGATCCACACAAAGTAAGACCAGTTTACATGGACACCGGCACTGACTTTTCAACATCTGTTGTCCAAGAGATGCCTAGGTTGTCAAGTACCTCAGGCTACAAATGCCAATACGGTAAGACACGTTAGTATGTTTATTATGTATAAATTAAGCTGCTGTTAAGAGTGTGGCGCGTGGCATTAAACTGATGGGAGAAACGATGAGAACGACATTCTAGGGCAAGTACCAGCTAAGAGATTTGGGGTTGACACATCAGGGGAACTTTCTTAGTAGTATATCTCTCACTAGTTTAGATGACATAGGATTACTATTTATTGACCAACCTATGCTATAGGATTTAGAAAGATGAGATTCCCAGATTCTCATTATACAAGATAATATCTTATTGAACATGTATAAGGAAAATTTTAGAGTTGAATTGCATTAGTGATTCTTCACAAAAGCTAGGCATCCAAATTTCTATGCAGGTGAATTTGACTCCTACTCTAGAGAAGATAATTTGGTCGTCTTTAAAATTGAGAGAGAGAGAGAGAGAGAGATTCTTTCATGCATGATTGTATGAAGCTAGGTAATGTTTGTGTTTACCAATAAAGGAATGCTCTAATGTTTCGTTTTTTACTTTTTTGGTTTTCTTGTTATAGTTTTAAGATATAATGCCCTATGTAGAAGAGAGGATTTAGAGTGGTAGGGTCTACACTAGATTAAAAGACTACGAAATAAAATTTTTTTATTACATTGCCTTATGATAATCGGAATAGTAATCCTTTTTCCTTTGCTCAGGTATGTACTCCTTTCATTGAACTTCAGAAATTCATGCTTTCTATTTATTTTGCTTCAATGAATTATTAGGGGGAGATTTCCTTTAAACTATTGATTTGGGATATATCCTGAATTGCATTTGTTAATGTACTCCACATATATTTATTTATTGAATTTTTTATTCTTAAATTTAAATTAATATCACATTTTTCACTCAATGCTTAGTTCGGTTCAAGACGTGTAAAGCATGTGCATTCAACTACTCTCATAACACACTTTTATAATATATATTATAAAGTTCTCCCTACTTTTACACATGGAACATTTGATGAGCTGGTAGACCCCACGGCTTCCAAATAAAATGACCTACATTCAAACTCCATGCCAAGCTTTTTTATTATTTTTTATTCAAACTAATGTCTGGAGGTGTCAACATGCGTCAACACTAGCCCCATGCTGGAGTGTCCAAGTAACACCAAGGAAGACTTCCTTGAATCTTGTAAATACAATCAGGCATACAAAGATTCAGGATCCAAAGAGTACACAAGAAGTTAGGGAAACTGGCCCCAAAGAGAATGACCATGGCGCCACACATTGACCCAAAATATGATACAGCTACATCACTTACCATGAAACGGATAGCCCTCTGAAGTCCTTAACCACCTCCCACTAAACCCCCTCCAGACCCCAATTGCACTTAGTTTGCAGTCTTTGGACAAGGGGTTTAAAATTCGGCTCAGGCTACTGACTCAAACAAATTAGGAAAAAAAAAAGCTAGAAAAAGATAAAGGTAAAAAGCAAAAGAAACTATAAAAAGCATTAAAAGTCTATAAAAGGTGGAAAAAACCATACAAAAGATGGAATTTGGAAAAAATTGATTTATAGCTAGAAATAGTTTTGAGAAATCCAAAAAAAGGGGAAAATAGAAAATAGAGCATACAATAAGAAAACTCACAAATCGTGATCTAAAAATCAAAATTATATATAGACTTTTTTTTTTAGAATGTTAACTGTTTGTATTGATGAAGATTAGGAGTAAAAAAATTGGCTTCCTAAAATGAAACCTGTTTACAACAAAAATTGGCTCACCACTAATTGGGAGCTCTGTACGAAACCACCTTAGATGGAGAGAAAACAAGAAATGGTAGCCATAGAAATAGGAGAGAAGGCAGAGGTCCTGGGGGAAGAAAGGACTGAGTCTTAAAAAATTCACTCAGTCACTAGCAGTTATTGCCCCAGCATTGACGAGAGTATCCGCATCTGAATTGCTCTCCTGCCAAACGTGATTCCAATAGAGTAAGACACCCCTGGTAAGATAGGAAGTAAATCAAGTACCAGGGGCATTCTATAGATCCAAACACCCAGGAGATTACATTGTGTGAGTGACCTTCGATCACCAAGCCAAGGCTCCAGAAAGGGTCGACGAGTTTTAAGACCATCAAGGAGAGCAAGGGCAGCCTCTCCTATTTAAGAGTCTGCATGGCCAATGTGTTTTGAAAAGGAGACCAGAACAGCACATTTATGGTTCCGGGAGAGGCCTCCAATTCTAGTGGGTCCGGGATTGCCAAGAGAGCAGCCATCAAAGTTGAATTTAACTAAGTCAAGCTCTGGTGGTCTCCAAAGAGGGGCACGAGGGATACGGTGCTGGTTGAGGTGAAGCAAGGCCTGCCAATCATGATGAAAGGCCGGGGGGGAACCTTTGAAGATGGAATGATTTGAAGCCCAGAAGATTACCATCGCTTTGAGTTTTTCGAATAAGGCCGCCAAGGAGATTAGATCTCCTCGAAAGATCCTACTATTGTATTTGACCCAGCATCCAAAGCAAGGCTGCCATAGAGGCCCTCATAGGAAGATACCTGGTTTGGCCCAGGGGTAGAGATGAAGAGAGGAGAAAACGCAGGGGACAGAGCGAGGGGTGACCCATTGCCATTTGAAGAGTTGAAGTAAGGCATCCCACAAATCTTGTGCAATAGGGCTATGAAGGAAGAAATGAGCATTTGTTTCTTCCAGAGCCTGACAAATTGCACCACACTTGGGAATGTAGGCAGACCCCTTCTTTGCAATTGGTTGACAGTGAGAACTCTCTAAGCAAGAGCTATCCAAATTAAGACCTCTATCCTGGGCGGCCAAGAGAAGACCAGGCTTTAGCAGCGATTCAAACAGCAGCACGAGGGAGGGAGGGGGATTCAAGGAGTTTTCTATAGGAGGAGGAGACTGAAAAGCTCCCTGATGGTGCTGGGCACCAGATGATCTTGTCTACCCCTAAGGGTGGAAGGAAGATAGAATGAAGGAGGGAACAGAGATCTAATAAATCCTGCAATCCGGACTCAAAAGGTGAATGTCTAAAAGTGGGACTCCAGGTTATTGCTGGTCCATGGGAACAGAAGTGCTCTACAACCATAGCTTGACAATCAAGTGCGAGCAGGAAGAGATCTTTGAGAGGGGTCTGGCCAATGCAAAGATTGAACCAAAACCTGACTCGTGTGCTCTAGGGTGATAGTGGATGTTGCCTCTGAAAAGGTTAAGGACGCTCAGAAGCGATTTCCAAATACCAGAGGGCCTCCCATTGGCTCGACAGTTTGGCAACCAGGAAGATTGGTCGAGGTGGTATTTGTGGATAATCACCTGTTACTAGAGATGGTCCTCTTGGGAAGCATATCACCGCCACCACTTCCCAGAAGGCCGAGTTTGCCTTCTTGAGTCCTCTGATACCAAGTGCCCCAGAACTACGAGGTGAACATATCTTGTCCCAAGACATCAAGTGGATTTTGCGATTGTAGTCATCACTGGCCCACAAGAAGTTTCTCATAAGTTGCTCGAGTCGGGAACTAACTGATGCCAGCATTAGCAAGAGGGACATCTGGTAGATTGGCAAGTTAGAGAGAGTAGCCTTAATTAGGGTGACTCTCCTAGCTGAAGAAAGATAATAGCCTTTCCAAGTTGCAAGCTTTCAGTCAAAATTATATATAAATATATTTATAGTATAAATTTTACACTCTGATTTAACAAAATATATATATTTTGTATTTTTTTAAGATTTCCGAGTTTGGACCCAAGAACTCGGGTAGGCAGTGTCTTAGTCCAAGTAACACCACCAAGTCCCAGTCGACTAAGCTGAGTCTGAAGATCATTGAGGAAACTTGGCATAAGTTATGTTCAGTTTGTACAAGGAGCACCGCATATGTAAACATGCCAAGTCAGATTAGTACTAAAGAGGCAACTGACTAAATAGAACTTTGGCATACAAGAATACATTGCACAAGAAGGAAAGAAAGTTTACAGGTCCGCTTCCCTCAAAAAGTCCATAGGTCATCAAGCTTTGTAATAGTAATTGTAGAAGTAATTTATCAATCTTTCTCAAATATGCAATTTAACATTTCCATTTTCTGAACAAAATAACCAAGCATTTTGACCCACATAATTTCCTTACCTCTTTCAAATTTTGCTAAAAAGCATATACAAACCCTACAAAGAAAAGGAGAACAACTAAAGAAAGAGGCTGCAACAGTGGGCACTCATGGTCCTACTACTAGGAAGTAGAGAAGTTATGACAACAACATCTTAACCACCAACTACTAAGCATCAGCATACGCAACCAGAATACTAGATGAATACTTTTTACTTCAATATTAATTATAAATTAAGAAGACCTGGACCAGCAGAACCCAATTTTTTTTTTTTTAGAAAAGTTAACCAGCAGAGCCCAAATCAGTCACCAACTTTTATAGATATCACAAATGTTAAGATAATTGAGTAACCCAAAAAGCAAGTTACTATAATAATTAGATCTTGACCATATTTGTGGCAATATAATAAGATAGCAAGCTCAGAAACCAATTGAATGGCAGAAAACAAATATATATACATACCCCAAAGTGCTGCACTTTTTATAAGGGGTGGCACTGGTATGTCCCCTTCCGATTTCTTCAAATTCCTGAATAAAAAAATTAAAAACAGAGAGAGTTTAGGAAAGATTAACAAAAACAGATTTTCTGGCATGAATTAAGTGTCATCAAATATATCAACATTAAAACGCAAACACGATATAAAAGGCTAGAAAACTCCAACAGATATCTCTACAAAGAAGAAGGTAACAGTAATATTGACTTCCTATAATGAATGAAGCAACCTGAAGAACTGCAACTCAAACATATGAAGAAATCTGCACTCAATTATTGAACATATTATGCATATTATTGACATTCAACATGTCAAGGTTTGTCCACACTTTTATTATCCAAAAATTATGTTCATCTCAATGCCAAGCTGAATGAAACCTATATTAAGAATGAGCCCCCTGCATGATATTGGATCCTTTTGGTTGAGGGGTTTGGCTGAGGTTATTAAGCCTCAGAGGAAAGTCAAGAAACCAAACATATTAAAGCAACTAGACATGAACATGAGGATGTCCATTGTTGGGACCAGGAGATTGCAATGCCACAAAAAAGGTAAAAAGGTCATTTAGCAAGGGCATTGTAACACTTGCACAAAATGCATGGGTGCCTAACATATCCAACTTCCCCTAGTTGAATTGAGGTGGGATTCGGACAAATCGCTTGACATGTCATTGTTAACAAAAGATACTCTTTTAAAGCCGGGGTTAAAAAACTCGATGAGTCAACTTGGACTTGGCCTCCAAGGCGAGTTCTTCAAGAAAAATAGGTTATTTAAAAGGTCTTAAAAATACATTTTTTCTTTTTTACTAAGTCACTTATTAATGATGCAAAAAATATGTTTCTATTTAATGTTGACAATTTGTGAATTATTCTTGCTATATGGCTCTATTTATTGGTCTAAGAAGGGTGAGGACCATAAACTTTCCATTAACCTGCCCAGGTAAAAGAGGTGGGTTGTGTTAGGTAGGCAGCTAATGTAAACTTTGCCAAAAATTTCTATGAAACCTGAATTTACGTTATCTGCTTATACTAGGACGTTCCCCATAAGCGACACGTTGTACCAGAACCAGGTACAATGAGAAATGAGTAAGGGTTAGCTAGGGCGTTCCAAAGAAGCGACGCACCGCAATGCAGCGCCGCCCTGTTGTGGTGAAAGATAGATAAAGGTTCCCAAAGAAGCTATCCCAAGATAATAAGATTCATCTAGCCACATGGAAAGTAGGAACAATTACAGGTAAAAGTATGGAGTTAGTGGATACAATGAGACTAAACACAAAAACTAAGTGGAAAGAGAAAAACATTAAGGAAATAGATGGGTATAAACTTTGGTATATGGGAAAATATGATAATAGAAATCATGTAGGTATAATAGTAGACAAAGATTTAAAAGATAATTAAAGTCAAGAGAGTAGGTGAAAGGCTCCTATTAATTAAACTTGTATTAGGGGAATAGATAATTAACATAATTAGTGCTTATGCACTAGCCCTACAAGTAAGATTCGAGGACAGAATTAAGAGACAATTTTAGAAGGATTTGGATGGGCTAGTCTAAGACATACCAAACGGAGAGAGGACCTTTTAGGAAGGCACTTAAATGGTCATGTAAGGAAGGATAGCAATGGATATGAAAGGGCACATGGGGATATGGGTTTTGTGAAGAAATGAGATGGTGAGGCTATTCTAGATTTTGTTATAGCCTACGACCTAGCAATAGCACACACTTATTTTAAAAAACGAGATGAACATTTAATAACCTATAAAAGTGGATCATATAAAAGCCAGATAGTCTTCTTCCTAGTTAAGAAGGTAGATCGACCATCAGGTCAAGACTGTAAGGCTACCCCGAGAGAGAGCTTGAGTATGGAACATAGGCTCATGGTTATGAACATCTGCATGGAAATGGAAGAGAGAGGTTGAAATTAATAGGTGTCCTAGAACTAGGTGGTGGAATTTAAAAAATGAGAAAATATACTTATTTAGTGATGAATTAATTAAAGAAAGAAAAGGGAACTATGAACATGACGTCAATATTATGTAAAATAAGATGGTTGACAGTATTAAGAAAGTAGCAACAGATGTTTTAAGAGAGACTAGAGGGAAAAGAAATTCCAATAAGGAAACTTGGCAGTGGAGGGATGAGGTTCAGAAGGCCATTAGCAAATAACGATTATATTAAAAACTTGACAATTTAATAAGATCAAAACTTAAAAAAATATAAAAATGCTAACAAAAACGCTAAAAAAATAATTAGGCTAAACTTAAGGCATATGGTAATCTATACAGTAAAGTGGCAACAAGAAAAGGTGGAAAAGATGTTTTCAAAGTAGCAAAAGCGAGAGAGAGAAAAAATGTAGGAATCTAGACCATATTAAATACATTAAAAATGTGAGTTTTGGTGAAGACTGAAGAGGTCAACAAAAGGTGAAAACTTTATTTTCAAACATTATTAAATGACATACACAATGGAAACATAGCAGTAGAAGAAAACATTGGCATAAATGAACGTCGGAGGCATGGATATATCCGTAAGATTAGAATATCATAAGTGACGTAAGCCTTAAAAAGAATGAAGATAGGAAAGGTTTTAAGACAATATAGTATCCCAATAGAGGTTTGGAAGTGTATGGGGGAGACCAGCATTGACTGGTTGACCAAGCTATTCAACAGGTGTTGAGAACAAAGAAAATGCTAGATAAATAGAACAGAAGTATTGTAGTATCTATTTATAAGAACAAAGGAGACATACAGAATTGTGCAAACTATTGAACGCTCAAACTTATGAGCCACACTATGAAGTTGTGAGAGAGAGTGATTGAGCAACGACTAAGGCATGAAACGAGTGTATAGAAAATCAATTTAGTTTTATACTAGGGAGGTCAACAATTGATACTATTTTCTTACTTAAGCAAGTGATTGAAAAGTTTAAGGCGAAGGGAAAAGACCTTCACAAGGTCTTTATTGATCTAGAGAAAGTTTATGATAAAGTACCTCGAGATTTAATTTGAGGGGTGTTAGAAAAGGAGTCTCTAAATACTACATCGACTTGGGAAGAGATATGTATGAAGGAGCGCTAACTAGTGTGCAAACAACTAGTGGAGAGACAAATTAGTTTTCAGTGACAATAGTTCTATAACAGGGATCAGAATTGAGCCCATACCTCTTTGTCTTAGTTATGGACAACTTAACTAGGCACCGATAAGATGAGGTACCATGGTGCATGTTGTTCGCAGACGACACAATTTTGATCAATGAGAGCCGAAGTGACATCAACACAAAGATAGAACTATGGATGGATGCTTTAGAATCTAAAGGTTTTGAAATTAGTCGGACTAAGATAAAGTATATGGAATGCAAGTTTAATAATAATAAGAATAGAGACGAGGAAGTAGTTAAGACTAACAGCCAAGAGATAAATAGAGCCATATCACCTTCATCATCATCATCAGAGCCTTTTCCCAACTATTTGGTTTGGTTGTATGAATCCTTGTCCACCATTCTACTATATTAAGGGTTATCCCCTCAATGATGCCATAAGTCCTCATATCTTTTCTCACTACTTCCAACCATGTCCTTTTAGGCTTAACCGTTGTTCTTTTTGGAGCCTTCTACTTGAACTAACTCTTACCTCCTAACATGTGTTGTACTAGGTCTGTGTTGCACATGGCCAGTCCACCTAAATCTACTTTCTCTTATTTTATCGCTTATTGGAGTCACACTTGAGTAATCCAGAATGTATTCATTTCCAATTCTACCCCTTCTTGTCTTGCCACTCATCAATCCAACATCTTCATCTCAGCTACACTCATCCCATGGGAAAATGGAAAGATTAAGGCAAATGTCACACATAGAATTAGAGTTGGGTGGGTGAAGTGGAGATGTGAAACCAGAGTTTTATGTGATCGTCGCATACCAATGAAGCTGAAGGACAACTATGAGACCAGCTTTGATTTATGGGGCAGAACGTTGGGTGATAAAGAAATAATATACCCATAGGATGAGTGTAGCTGAGATGAGGATGTTGGATTGATGAGTGGCAAGACAAGAAGGGATAGAATTAGAAATAAATACATTCTGGATAACTCAAGTGTGACTCCAATAAACGATAAAATGAGAGAAGGTAGAGTTAAGTGGACTGGCCATGTGCAGCGCAGACCTAGTACAGCACATGTTAGGAGGTACGAGTTAGTTCAAGTAAAAGGCTCCAAAAAGAACAAAGGTTAAGCCTAAAAAGGACATGGTTGGAAGTAGTGAGAAAAGATATAAGGACTTATGGCCTCATTGAGGGGATGGCCCTTAATATAGTAGAATGGCGGACAAGGATTCATACAACCAACCCAAATAGTTGGGAAAAGGCTCTGATGATGATGATGAAGGTGATATGGCTCTATTTATCTCTTTTTCCATTTTATGGATTTTTCTAAATTGTTTCAAGCTATAAATCAATTGTTTTGATATTCCCTCTTCTATATTTATTTTTCTGCTTTTTGTATATTTTTAATGTGGATTAGTACTTCTTTAGCTTTTGACTGATTTCCTATAAATAAAAAATTGTATTTTCTTTTTTTTAAGGCAATTTAAAGCCCTTTTTGGTCTTGTACACTACTCAGATGAGTCCACTTGGACTCATCTGAGGTACTCAGCTTAGCAAGGGGTTGACTCCCAAGCAGAAGCCAAGTTTTTTGATAATATTTGAAATGAAAGGATTCCAGAGCAGTGACAGTTGGAGAGGTTCAACTGGAAATGGAATGTTATTACCAAGAGATTAGGAGAAGCATTAACATGAGGGAGTGGTGAACCTTAAAGTTTGAAAAAACTAATTTAAAAAAACACAAATCTAGGTGATTGAAAGATGGAAGAAACAAATAAACAACTTTAGAGGCTCCTAAAGTGGGTCAATCAGATAGTGTCAACAGGACCAGCAAAGCACGGAATCCAAGTTAGAAATAAAGGCCGAAAGTTGTTTCATGTCGTGTCTATTACGAAAAGGAATGAGCCACTGGTTTATCACTAGGTTAAAAGTCCTTTGGGCTATGTTTTGTTGTACATTTTGTATTCAGGATGAAATTTTATTATCATTAACGAAACTAAAATTAAAAATAAAAATAAAAAGTACAGGTAAGATCTGAACCACATTACTCAAGGATGATAACACTCTCTGCAGCAGAATCGATATCAAGCTATAGAAATGCAAAATCAAAAATGAAAATGACATGGTAATGAATAACTACTTTAGTTTCTGCGAGGAAGCGAGATATACTTTCTACATGGATATGTGTTGCGCTAGAAATGTCACAATGAATCAATCTCTTAATAGATTCAACTTTAGCCGTGGAAATATTGCCATCTAAAAGTATACTTTGCATCAGCGTCTTCATAGTTCATACAAGAACGAACACAACTCAGCTGGGTTGATCATGAGCAAATATTTTTAGTCTTCCAAACACTAGGGTGACCTGCTAGGCATCTTTTTTTCCTTCAAAAAGTTGTAATGGATTTCTATAATTAGGTAAAATGAATCTATGAATACTGCCTGGTGTAAATTCATAATCTTTCCTATAGAGGAAACCTAGCTAGTTACATTGCCATCATCATCATCATAGCCTTTTCCCAATTAATTGAGGTTGGCTACACGAATCCTAGTCCGCTATTCAGCTCTATTAAAGGTAGCTAGTTACATTATGTATCCATTTAATATGCTAGATCTTTTATCAATAGAACTATTCCATGGACTTTTTTAAATCGATAGAGCTATTTGATGCGTATTACATAAAGAATCAGAAGATTACAAATCACACAAGCCTATGATAAATATCAGGGCTTATAATTGATGTCATTTACAACGACTTCTCTGTCTTACGTTTTCCTATTGATGCATGGCTGGTCAAGAAAGAGAAGGATCCCATAAAAATAAGAAATAAGAAACTGAATGTCATGAAGTTTATGAACGTGTAAACCTGATGGACAGGATGAAGTCCACCGAACAGCAAGACATAGACAAATATTGTGCTTTGCTAAAATCATACCTCTTAGCTGTCATGATCAAATTTGCAATTCCTTGGCCTATAAGCCCACATGCGAATCCAACTGATCCATAGAGCACACCCTAATTGAAAAGAAACAAATAATCAAGCTGCATATTTTCCAACAACTGCCAATAGAATAATAAAAAAGAGAGCAAAACAATTGGGAAGTTTAAATTTTGATAACATGGTTCAGCTACTTTGCTTGGCAGATAGGCATATTATATACAAGGTTCACATTCAACCCCAAAAAATAAAAATAAAATAAAAAAACGCAGAGCATAATTATCTTGAGAGATGAGGAAAACTAGATAATGCTTGAAGCAGAAATTCAATAATTATCTTGAGATATGAGGAAACTAGATAATGCTTGAAGCAGAAATTCAAAACTTTGCCTTTTTATAGAAACCACAGATTTCATACAAAGGGAAGAAGAAACTTAACTACCTTATAGAAGTAAGTAGCAATACGCTGCTTGATTGAAAATCTGCAGCCCGGTCTCTCAGCTTCAAATACACTACATAATATAAGAGAACAATGATATTCAAGAAGTAGTTTACATGGGCATTCCTTTGGTATACATGGAGAGTAGCGGCAGCAGACGAATAAATATTTATACAATAAATCAGACCCACTAATACTAATATTCACATCTCTTCAGTGGGAAAATGCAAATCAAAAGTCAAAACTAAAAAGGAACTTTGCAATAAATCTTTGTATGGCATGGGAATAGAATATTCATACTTCACATAATTGATGTAATCTTCTACTGGTCACGTTACCATGGTTTGGGAATTTTTGTCCTTCTGAGGATATCATTTTAGTAAATCATTTGAAGTGAATCTACAATAATTAAATGTCCAACTCCTAATGGTGAGGAACCCTTTAGGAAGCTTCACACCTTTAAAGTGCTCCTCTAACTGAGTTACAAGAGCAACAATTGACATACTTAACAAGTCAAATAAGGCATAGGCTGGGGCGAAAAGGAGCTGCAATTCTTTCATAATAGATCACTACAAATGTCTTTACATTGAAAATAGAAAAAAAATAAAATAAAATAAAATTTAAGCCTTTGCAAATAGACAGCTCACATGAGAAGATAGCATAAGCAGTACTAGCCCCTATAAAAAACCGATTAGGGAATGGTTAAAAAGTTTTTCTGTTTCATTATGTTTTTTGGCAGAAGAGACGGTATAGAGAAATTTGTCAATCACATGTTATTTTATTAATCCCCTTGTTTTTTCTACATTTCCGAGTCCTTTGTGTATCAATGTATCTTAAGTGTAGGAAAAGAGACGATTTGCAACGCTACGTCCTCTGCTCAATTCCTACCAAGGGTAGGGGCCCTCTCCCCACTGACTCACCCAAAAAAATATATCTCAAGTGTTTCTTTTCTTCCATTCAATGTCATCGATCTAAGTCTATATTGGAGTCCATACACTTCAACGTTGATAATTCCATGAAATCCATGCCACACTTTCAGACAGCAGACAACAAACAGTACCAGTAGTTGAGATGCTATAATCCCATAGTTTTAAATTTCTTATGATTTAAGGAGTTACTATATTCTTAAAAGGAAAAAAGAAAATGAAAAGAAACAGCATTCATGATCAACAGTAGCACTAACCTGCTAGGTAAAGCATTGTAAGCATGACGAACGCTTCCAAAGAACCCCTTGGAAGCTGTTGGCTGACCAAAACGGGCATAAGGTGCTAACATACCAACCAAAGCAATATTAACCACCACCCCGACTAGCATATCCGCAACATACAATTCAAACTCTGCCCAGAAGTCCTTTCCTCTCTTTTGGACCTCGGCAAAAGTTGCACAACAAGTATCTATAACAATCTGAGTCACGTGAAAACTAAATCACAACCATCCTTAATAACAACCAAAAGGATCAGAACATATAGAGCTTTCTAGTTATCAATATATATAGGGCATTGTAGACTAAGAGAACAAACAAACAAACCTCTGTCCCCACTTTAAATAAGAATGATGGATCAGCAAGCATTCGGTTGCGGAGCAAAGAACAAGACTGCATGGCTACACCTAGAGGCCATATCGCATCCTATAATAGGGAAACAAAGAATAAAATAGGACAAATTAATGTAATTATGGCAGTAATGCTTTCCATAACACAATGACAATGAAAATGTAATTGATGAGGGACCTGGTAGCATGTTGCTAGGAAGGACCCAGTGGAAAACATGGAGCGACCAAAAGGAGGAAGGTAATATGATTGGCACCCAAAACCATACATTAAAATCGTCATTCACCCCAATGACTCTAGCAATGAGGTTTCAACAAACAAGGGAAAGAAAACCATTGATGACTACATTAATGAGTTACCAGGTGCATGGGGTGAAAATGATAGCTTTACCCATGTGATATTTTGGGTGTTTAGGATACCAGCAATTTCTCTTTGCTCATATAATGAGGGGTCAAGATCTCAACTTTGTACAATTGGGTTCATGATAAAATTCTTGTTAAAACACAAAATCACGATGCATATGTATACTACTTTTGTTTTATAGTAAGAATTCAATGTGAAGTGGAAGTACCTGCAAATCCAGGTATCTAGAAAGAAGGATCTTACGAATGCCTGTGGTCTTTGCTGCCTCTAACATATCAGAAGGAAGAACGACACCACGAGCCTCTGTCTCTCTCATTACTTCATCAAATCTCAAAATTGGTCCAAATTCCTCTTCTTCTTTGTCCTCACTTTCGAAATCATCACCTCCTCCCCCTCCTGGTGGATATTTTCCATTAGCACCCCCTCCATTGAAAGAATCTCCTCCTGACCCATGATCAGTTTCATGCAAAAAGCTCTTCTCAACTACGTTATCAGAACTCTTCTCCACAATACTATCCGAAATGTCCTCATCAACGTTTTGAATTGGCACATCAATGTAGTCAGATTGTTGCCTCAATTCACTCCTAATCTTAATTATTCTTCTCTTCTGTGAGCGAAATTGTTGTGTGACTAAAACAAAATCATGGCTTTTCACAACTCTCAATAAAACAGCCGTATTTGGCAACACCCGCTTCTCGATTGAGGTTTCAGAGTTTAATCTATGGCACTGCAAACTTGATCCATATCTTACCGAACAGAAAGCCATATCAACTGTTATCTTAGACTGTTAAAATGTATTGTATTGGTGGGAGATTCCCAAAAAATCAATCTACTGAGTCCGCGGATTTATAGTTCAGTCACTGCAAAAGCACTGAGAAGTCGGCGAATAAAGTAACCCTCAGTTACGAGCCTACCAATAAGAAAAAAACCACATTGATCCATTACTTGCCATTTGCTACCACTTATTGTCTCATAGAACTAGGAACTTTACGAAACTGAACTTCCAGTAACAAACGACTGAATCAATAGAAAAAAAAAAACATCGCATAAATGAATTCACCGTTTCCAGAGTAGGTGAACATATCAGGATTCAGAAGTTAGTTCAAAAGGAAACGAGAGCCCCTGCAACAAAAAAGTGCAGTTTGAAAAATAACTTTGGGGCTCAAAGAAACTCAAGCTTCAGCAACACAACGAAAACCGAAAGCAAAAACCAAATTACAATCAGCGCAACAGATAAATGAAGCACCAAGAAAAACCTATGGCAAAATCAAATTGAAATCTCTGCAAAAAAACACTAAAAAAGTGAAAGAAGAACAAATGGAAACAAGGATACCTGGTCTTACTTGAATTAGAGAGAGAGAACTAGAGGAACGCGGGCGACTTCGTGAGAGCGATTAGGGCAACTCAGAAGAGGAACCATTTATATACAAATTATCGGAAAGTTTATATCAGTAACTGAGATTCTCACTTCGCGGCGGCGCGGCGAGAGTTCCTAATAATAATCAGCACGGCGATGGATTCGCCGACGTGCTATGTTTGTCCTCAGTTCGCGCTGTTTCTCACTCTAAAAAACGACTGGCTTTTAGTCTACTCGTTGATGGGCTCTCTCTCTCTCTCTAAACTTTAAATTTAGTCGCATGGGAATACATGAGCAAACCTTTGCTCTCGCACAAGGTGTTTTGGGAGGCCATAACATTTTACGTTTCGCGGGAGTATATTGTCTATTTACTCCATCCATTAAAACCCCATATGCGAGTAATTTAAGGACTCTAAATCTTCAATCTATAGGCCAGTGATTTAAAAAGCACATCAGTAACTAAGATCGAGCATAATAAAAACGGGTCCGGACCACCGATTTACTATACGAGAAAAATAGTGAACAACAAAAAAACACATGCAAAAATATTGAACCGGTTTGGATCGATGAATCGACATTTTTATTATAGTAAAACAATGCTTTTATTATCGTAAAATGATGTTTTACTATAGCAAATAACCAATACTATTCTAGATCCAGATGATTTTCTATATATTAATTGAATCGGCATGAGGTGACCGATTCTCAAGTTGCAATGGACAATTTCGTACCAACCCCATGCTTTCCAAATCACTGCAATAGACTAAACTCACAAAAATATTCTAAAAAATCAAAATTTCTACTAGCTAGAACTGTAATGTGACGCACTAGAACTATAATGTGTCAAGATTAAACAAAGATCGTCCAATTTTTTAAAGGCAAGATCAAAGTATAGAAAAAACTCAAAAGTCCAAATTTTTCCGATTAAAGAAATCCTCCCAAAGTA